AATTACTCAAAAAAAAACAAGTATAGGACTACATTTTGAAATAGCATTTCTCACATTTTACTATTAAAAAAAATATATATTAGTGAAATGCAGTGTGCTCAGATCCCAGTTACTGGATTGAAATTCTGGCACTATTATTGAAGTATAAAATCCTGCCCATAGTAACTGACCTGTGCAACAGTTCTAATAGGTCTAGTAGTGCAAGGTGAATATCTCAACACCACCAAAGAATGGATGTTTGCAGTTAAAGGGTTTTGAAAACTGAATCTGTGACAAGTCTAAAGTTTCATATCCATGAAGAAGATCAAATAATACCACTTTATTGCTAAAATTCAAGATGAACATGAATTTTTTCACAATCTAGCATTAGAGTACCATTATTTTTCTATAATTACATTTTTCTCAGATTATTAATGCTTATAAATTACATTACACAAGTAACTAATGCAAAGTAAGTTGAAGATAAGTGTCCAACTTTAAGATTTACAAAATAAATCATCAGCGGGCTTGTATTTTCCTGATGTAACTTGGCATCTGAAGAATACTTACTAAACTTAAAGTGAAAGTCTCTCAGTCATGTCCAACTCTTTGTCCAACCCGTGGATTATACAATCCGTGGAATTCTCCAGGCCAGAATACTGGAGTGGGTACCCTTTCCCTTCTCCCGGGGAACTTCCCAGCCCAGGAATCGAACCCAGGTCTCCCACTTTGTAGGTGGATTCTTTACCACCTGAGGTACAAGAGAAGCTCCTGTAGCTTAAACTAAACTTGAAGCTGGTACAAATTTTGATTTTTTTTGTTAAAACCTATCTCATATTATGCCTCATTTTATTCAAGGACCATCTTCCTCAACCAGATTGTACATTGTGCAAAATAAGATCCCATTCTAAACTGCTTAGTGTCCATGAAAGCTTCCAGAAAATTGCTAGGTCACAGAAACTGTTACCTAAATACCTGACTAATACGGGAAGGTGCAGGTATTTACTGAATGTTTCAAGTGTTAGAGACACAATGGGAGTTTAATAGCAAGGGTCCTGCAACTGTAGTGGAAAAATATGGATTTGAACCCTGACTTTGCTACTTTGAAACTGTGTGGCATTCTGTCAAAAAGTCTGATTTGTAATTCCCCAATGAGTACCATGGGAGCAATAATGGCACCCCACACCTTTGATATGGGAGGACAAAATAGTGTGCATGTGAAAATGCTTTGTAAAGTGCAAAGCATTACTCATACATGAAATATTATGGTGTCTCTTTTTACCTTACACATAAATATGAATTCCTATATTCATCATACAGGTTCTTTGGGGTTTTTGCTTGTTTCTGTATAAGAATACTCCAAATAATGACTGTATATAAGACCTTTTCTATTTATCATGTTCCTAAATGACTAGTTGTTATAGAAAAGTGAACAAAGTCAAATATGTTATACTCTTCACACATTCCACTAATAAAGGGAAACTGAATAGATAAGATGCTTCAGCGTCTGAAATCATGGGCTAGGATCCTGATTCTACAGCCCCACAGCTGGGTGACCTTGTGTAAATCATTTACCATTGCATGGTCCAGTTATTCCATCTTTAAAAGGGCATCTGGTACTTTCCTGTGGTCCAGTGGGTAAGACTCCATGCTCCCAAGGCAGAGGGCCAGAGTTTGATCCCTGGTCAGGGAACTAGATTCAACATACTACAACTAAGATTCAGTGCAGCCAAATAAATAAATAAATATTAAAAAAATAAAAGAGCGCCTTATGTGGATGATCTTTAAGACTCTAATTATTTCTAAATTTTATATCATTGTATCAACATAATTGGCTATTTAATATTCAAATAACCTTAATATGTTTGCAAATGTTTTAGCTATTTTAATAGCTGCTTGCTTCCCAAACTTCTGAAAGTTTTATAGAAAGAGAAATAAGCATTTTATAGTTTTTTGCTTTCCCATCTCACCCTATTTCCCACCCAATAGATTCCTCATCATTTTTCAAGAACTATCAGTCCCATGCTGATTTCTCTATCCTGTCTCAAAGGAGGAGAATTTAATAATTCTCTCCACTGTGTTACACTGCAATATAGCAATGTATTCACATCTACAATTCCAGATTGAGAGCGCAATTGAAGAAATTCTTCATTTAAAATATTCTAATTTAAATAATTTCCAGGCCACAGTGTTTAACTCCCAGAAGAGGTTTTTGCAAATATTTGCTGAATAGATAAATGCATGGTTGAGCACAACTTCGCCCCTTCTGACCACAGTCTCCTGTACACAGAAGCTCTCTCCATGCCAAGTTTGAAAATAAACAGATGGTTAGATGTTTACACAGATTAGTCAAGGTAAATCCTTTCCCAGGAATTTTACAGACAACAGAAAGCAACCAGATGCCACTATAATGTGCTGTCACATCTAACTTTCCCTTCTTTCCTCTTGAAATGACTGGTCTTGGAGTGCTGCTCTATAAACAGGAAATCTGTCTGCTTCTGTTTCTCTGGGAAGTCACATGCATAACAGAGAGAGTTAAAAACCTGACCTAACAGATTTCCTGTTACATTCCTGATTCCACAGGAAAGCCAAGGGATTTTCTTGTTCAGAGGTCACAAAAGCCAGGGAATCCATGAATTAGTAAAATGATGAAGATCTATTTCCACTTGCAACATGGAGTAGAGATTAGAACTACAATTTCCAGCTGCATCCTCAGTTCTTATCATGTAGAAAATTCATGTTGATTTTAGATTTTTGAATTGTTGATGAGACTATGACAACATTTGAGAGGAAAGGACACAGGAAATAGTCAGAAAAGCACAGAAGAATAAATTCCTTTCAGTTTTCCATGTGATTGGGAACTGTACTTATAGCTCGTTGAATCTAGAATTCCTGCAGGTTTCAACAGAGATCCATTCAGTCTTCTGTTGATTTGTATCTGTTTTGCTGAGTCATCTGGGAGCTGTGTGAGGTCACTTTTGGCTGGAGCATTCTACAGCCAGCAAATGTCTAAACTGAAGCATCTTTGCCTTCTTTGGGTCAAAACTCTATGGTCATCAATAGGTCATCAGTGAGAAATGTAGTGAAGGTATTTGAAATAACACCCAGGTAAGCACTGAAATAACTCACAAGTGAACAAAAAGGAACACACACCTATTTTTGGAGAGTAGAAAGTAGAAAAAAGCAATATCACCAAATATTCAATTGACCCTATCACTATTTGCAGTATTTACTCAGAAAATAAAAGTATGATTCATACGTAAATGATAGAAATACTAAATTATTTCCCCCACTCAGTTTTCTTGATCCCAATGAATATAGTAAAATAATTATAGAAAAACTCTTTCTACACAGCAATCATTAACAACAACAATATGTTAGACACCATATTCTATAAGCAGATCACAATCTAAATTCAAGGGGCGGAGTCATTCATTCAAAACATTACTTCTGAAGAAAGATGAAAGATCAAAGGTCCAACCTTCAGGTAACAACTCAGTGAGCAAGAGCCAGGTGAGAAGGGGAGAAGGGATACCTGTTGAGGGAGGTCAATTAAGAACAAAAAATAAAACGTTCATGAGTTTTATGTTGTTTAAGGATAGGTCTAAAGAAGGTAGTTGACAAGATCTTCTTATGCATGAATGTTGAGTGGTCCTCAGCTCTTCCATTCTCCTTCATTAAGAATTAAATCTGAAGGGTAAAGAAGATGCCTTAGAGGTTGTATCATTCCATTTTTTTAGCCTGGGCATTCACAACACAAATCGACATTTCCCCTAGGGCTGCTAGGTGATGACTGCTGTGTAGCCCAGCGGGACCCAATATGCAGGGGGGACTGCCTGCCTTGTGATCACAGACCTGGATGCCGCCGGATTTTAACCTGCTTTTTCATCACAGTCTCATCACCAATCACAACCAAGCAGATCTGCCAAGAGCAGGGCTGTATAAATACAAGGGAAATCTTCCTGTGCTAAAAGAAGACATCAAGTAGTTCCTATTTGGGGGGTAAAGTAGAAACACTTATGACTCTTGGTAGCAGGCTTTTCTGTTTTTACCAAGTTATATTTTTCAGGGAAGCCCCTTAAATATGAAAGCCAAATTCTACATTTTCTTCTTTAAGTAGTCTACATCATTAGTAAAAAGATACTAACTGAAAGAGTCTGAAGAAGACTGAACCAACATCAATATATATTTTAACTTAAAAAAATTTAATTAAAACTTAGGCCTGCAAACTCACCTTAAGTACATTAAAAGGGTAGGTCCTGGAAACAAAAACTTATCCCATTTAAAGAACAACGCAGAGTAAGTTTTTTTTAGCTGGTACTTTCAGTGTTTTTAAAACATTATTTTCTTTTATGTCTGTTGCCAAGCATCGCTGGAGCAAGGGAAAAATTTCGTTCTATTCATGTCTTAGAGTTTAAAGCAGCATGCAAATAGCTTGACAGAACCTAGCACTCTGTGAGGAGCAGGTCCTGAGTGGTTTAGCTCAGATGATTCGGTCTCTTATTGCGCAACAAATCAAAACACTTCCTCCAGTGATGCTATATCAACATTGTTAAAAGATAAACTGATATATATATATACGGAATTTAGAAAGATGGTAACGATAACCCTATATGCAAAACAGAAAAAGAGACACAGATGTACAGAACAGATTTTGGGACTCTGTGGGAGAAGGTGAGGGGGATATGTTTAGAGAGAACAGCATCGAAACAGGTATATTATCTAGGGTGAAACAGATCACCAGCCCAGGTTGGATGCATGAGACAAGTGCTCGGGGCTGGTGCACTGGGAAGACCCAGAGGGATCGGGTAGAGAGGGAGGTGGGAGGGGGGATCGGGATGGGGAATACATGTAAATCCATGGCTGATTCATGTCAATGTATGGCAAAAACCACTACAATACTGTAAAGTAATTAGCCTCCAACTAATAAAAATAAATGGAAAAAAAAAGATAAACTGAGGCATATTAAAATTCTTATGAGTTTATTTGAGCAAAAATAGATTCTAAGTGGGTAACAACAAACCAAAAGTGGTTAGGAGCCTTCCACCAACAGGAGCTTCAAGAGACCTGGAAGCAAAGCAAGAAAGTACTCAGTTGGCTGTAGCTTAAGCGTTTGATTTCTTGAGAGAAGCCCAGTTGTCTCTTTGTTATGGGTTGTCCTTTGGTTCCAGTTTCTTAATCTTGAGGTCTTTACAGGCTTAGCTTTTGGTTTGCTTACACGGGCTGCCAAGGCATTAGAACCACCACAGTCAGTTAATTTAACAACCTACGTGGAATGAAAAAGTGAAAGCGTTAGTTGCTCAGTCGAGTCCAACTCTTTGGGACCCCATGGACTGCAGCTTCCCAGGCTCCTCTGTCTATGGGATTCTCCAGGAAGAATACTGGAGTGGGTTGCCTTTCCTTTCTCCAGGGGATCTTCCCAACCCAGGGGTTGAACCCAGGTTTCCTGCATTGCAAGCAGGCTCTTCACTGTCTGAGTCACTGGGAGAGAAAAATAATAATAATAATAATAATGAATTAAGTGCTTTTTAATAGTTCTTTGAGGAAAAGTTCTGAAAATTTGTACTACTTCTCCTAAATTACCTAAAGAGTAATTTCAGTAGACAATTACTCCTTTTCTATCTTACTCTATGCAAAAAATAAGTTCAATAAAATTTTTTGAGCTTCTACTATGAATTCAGCACTACTCCTAGAGTATTGGTTACAGAGTCCTCTTTTATTCTTATATAACCTAACCCTAACCCCAATCCTAACTCTAAGCCCAACTCTAACCCTACAAAATTCCTCCTTTACAATAGGGCCACTGAGGCACAGAGTGGTTGAGACCTTGTTTAAGGTCGTGCAACTAGTAAATCGTGGGTCAGTTAGCTTCCTTAAAGTCAGTGCTTACAACCACAATGCATACAGCCACATATCAGGTTTCTCTCATTTTCCCATCAGAGAAAATTACTAAATTGCATTTTTTAAGCCAATTTAAGCTAAGCTGAGCTATAGGAGTATAAAATTACTTAAGCTGAGCTATTAAAAACATTTACTTTTTAAAAGTGTGTTTTATTTGACACTTTTCACTTCTAGGAACTTAGTTTGAGAAAATTTGCAAAGATGTGCCAGTGAGGAAGATCAAGGAAAGACTAGGTTTTTAAAACATTTGACTCCTTTTGTGTAATAGAATATTACACAGCAATTTAAAATAATAGATATAAGTCTACAGTTACTGATATGGAAAGTTGACCTCAACATATTTCTGGGTGAAGAAAGGTTAAAACATAGCAAAGTTTTATCCCATTTTTGAAAATAATATGCATATGTACTCACTGTAAATATGTACATATAGTGATTATATTAGTAAATATTTATTTACTGTTTATTGTCATGCACTAAATTATATCTTTTATAGGTAATAATGCATGTAAATCTCAAAACAGTCCTAGGGGATGGGTACTATTTTTGTTCCCATTTTATAGATGAGAGAAAAATGAAATATTGAATTACTTGCCAAGAATATGAAGAAGATATGAGTGCTCACAGAAAATGTTAGCTATTTTATTTCTGGATGATGAAACTATGGGAGGGGTGTGTAAGCACAATTTTCTGTGTTTTAATTTTCCCCAAGTAATTATTAATTATTGATTTTAAAATATTTCTATTTTGAGGAAAAAAATTGTTGTCTAATTTGGTTATTCTTCCAATTTGATTATTCTTACAGATATCATAGGAAAGTTGTTAATACCAGATGATCTCTGGTAAACAGAGAGCTAGTCACAATAGCCCATTTCCTCTACTGGGTCTCACACTATGGCCTCCCTGAATCATGGCCGTGACATGAAAACCACACTTCAGGCAGCTTGGACAGGAAGGGGTTTGGGGGAGAATGGATACATGTATATGTATGGTTGAGTCCCTTTGCTGTCTGCCTGAAACTATCACAGTATTATTAATCAGCTATACCCCAATACAAAGTAAAAAGTTTATTTTTAAAAAAAATATATAAAAACACTTCATGGGTAGGTCAAGGGAGATGTTTAATGAGTTTACCTTGAGACTTTGTATTTTATAGCAGTTCTTCAACTTGTGATCAGTTTGGAAGTTACTCTTTCCACTCCATGGTGAGGCGTAGCAGTCAGATGAAGTGTTGAATGAAGAGACCATCCCAACTAGGAAACAACTGTTGGCCCATATCCCACAACATGTTTTTGGAGGCTTGGGGAACCTCTTTCAGTTCTGTATAGTTAAGAACAGAGATAGTAAAGCTACTTGGTGAAGACTCAGGACTAGAACTCTGAGTGATTACAGATTGAGAATTTGCCGTGTGTAAAAATCCCCTTACACAGAAGTTATCATTCTATGGCAATAAAGCCTAATACTGAGCTTGAAATGAATTTGGGTGCCAGCAACAGCTACCAGCTTGGATATAGACTACATCAGCACACAGACCACACACTCAGCTGAGAGCCTCAAGGAGTCCTCTTAAAAGAAAATAAAAAATAAATGATATAACCAAACTATTGAGTAATTTTGGTTTCTTATATTTCCACATTAATGATTTTTAAAACTTTACAAAACCCAGGGTAGAGTTCTCACTATACAGCTGAGATTCACTCACAAAGTGAATGTGTCTTATTTTCTTTTTAAAATATAAAACAGCAAGTTAAAGGATCCCGTGTTATTTGTGTACGTTGATAATTCACTATATGTTTCCATATAGGTAATGTCAACCAAAGTCCTGGCTATCCAATTAGAGTGAGCAGCAAATATTAGAGAATGATGCCTGAACAACGTTTATGCCTGTTTAACTTTATTACAGATCACAACAGAACGTTTTCAGGAGCGATTATTTTGGTAGCCAAACAAGAGCTGAGACAGCACTTTGTCTCAAAATAAAAATGTGCAACAGTAGCACATTTCAATCAGTTCAGCAATAGCTACATACCATCAGCCTATGTCTTTATAGAATTATTACAGTATCTCAAGAATTTCACCATCTGCTCCTTTTTTGGAGTCATTTATTATAAAGTTATTTTCTTCTTGACTTTTCTACCCCTTTTGTGAGCCAGCTTTTACAAATAGCTATAAATCAGGGAAATTGACCTCAGTAACGGAAAATTATTCTGAACAATACATAATATCATGGCAGATGACCAAATCACTGTGCAAATTCCAGAAGGAAGTTATTTGGTTCTAAATGTGAACGACAAGGATGTTTAGTTCACAATGTCCAATCAAGACATGTTATACTAGGGTCCCAAGAGAATACTCCTTGAATATGGCTAAGGTCACAAGAACTCATGATCTTATCACCATTGGATCAGTTCCCAGTTGGCAGAATATGAAGTGTTTTTTTACGTTTTCCTAAGGTGTGTAGGTAAAAGATCATGAGTGAGGTAGATATGTTCCAAGTTAGGCCACAGTATCTTCTATGTACCTCTTGTGCTAGATTTACTTCTCAGGAAATAGACTCAATTAGGAACAAGAAACTGTGTTTGGATACTTAACAGTATTAGCAGAAAGATTTTTTATGTTACTATTGCTTTAAGCCATTTTACCAATATGGTACCAAGATGCAAGGATGAGAGACAGAGAGGCTCTTCCTTCATCACTTCCCTCACCTGTGTTAACCTCCTCCCATTTCCTCATTCTCTTTGATCCATTGCTACTCAACATGCAGTCTAGGAACCAGAAGAATAAGCATGCCCTGGGAACTTTGAGAAATGCAGGATCTCAGGCCCCAACCAGATCTACTGAATCAGATCTTGCATTTAATTAGATCTTCCCAGGTGAGTTCTGTGCACACAAAAGTATATAGGACATCCTCCTAAAGATACACTTTGGGCTACTGACAGGGGAGCTCAGGACATTAATCTCTTTCATTTCTACTTTTCCTCTATCATCCAAGAAATTAGCAATCTATAATCAGTCCTCTTCCCTCAAGCCAAAAATAAGGCAAATACATAACAACCAACGTTTGTTTAAGCCTTTACAGTGTACAAAATGCTTTCATAATCAATACCCACTCCATGTTTGCCTCACCCTTGAGAGAGGCAAGGGTTACAATTCTCATTTTAAAGATTTTAGGAAATTATGATGGTTTGATGTTCAGCAACACTCTCCAAGTCACAAACAACTGGTTTTCTGACTTAAAATCCGTGCTTCTTTTGCTAGTATGCCATGATGAACGGACAGAAGAACTAAAGCAGAAGGACACAGGCGTAGACTAAATCTAGAATTTAAAGTATATTTGGAAGTCACTGGAGTAAAGCTGGGGGAAAATTAATCACATTATTTGTAGCCACCTAGTCAAAGATTTCATCCCCCGATGACGGGGACAGATAAACCAATCTTTTAGACCTTCTTAAAGATATTCAACCTCTTCCTGATTACAAGCTAAACATAATCACAAACAAGGGAAGACAGGAAAACAAGCTGTGCTTGTGTTAAGAGCTTTCCCTGTGAGCAATTCTCACCAAGCACATCAGCAGGAACTGGCTGGGAGGCAGGCTGTCAATTCCTCCAGGAATTTTCAGCACCCAGTCCACGTCAGTTTCACATCAGTCAGTCAAATATGATTTCACATCAGTCAGTCAAATACCATGTTTTCTGAGGATATTTCTTTCCAGGTTAATATCATCTTTGATTTATCAATAGTTCTGCCCTTATCCAAAATTTTCCAAACATATATTACCTTTCCAAAACAGGAAGCTTGCAGCTTCACTTTTTGGAACTTCTCCATTAGGAAAAGACAAGTCAGTTTGTCCAGGAAGAGTTTCTCTGCCAAAGCCACTGCCAGGCCTGGCCACTAACCTTCACACACCGACAACACATGTCCTACCAGGTAAGAGCTGGACACTGTCCCCAAGGAAAGGTCAAATGCTTTCTTGTGAGCCGTAACCTCATGTCTAAGTGCTCTGTTTCAAAATGCATGTACATTTTGGGCAGATGACCCATGAAAGGACAAAAGGATTAGAACATCTTTGAAATAACAAACTTCATCACCAAATATCTTCAGATTCTCCCCCCAAGACTTTCACGGTGAAAGGTGAACTTGGCAGATTTCAGCAGCTCTCTAATAAGTTTGAGAATCAGACCGTCTTGATACAATTTTCAAAATGTTTTCCTCAATATTTGAAGAAAGGGTCAGTACACAAAGGGAGTGGTCAAGATCCCAATCATATCTTAAGCATCCGTTCTGAAAGGAGGTGATACATTGAAAGCACGGAAGGGCTGCATAGCTACCTGCTCGGCCAATGAGATTTCCAGATATAGTCGTGCAGAACTCCCTGGGGGTTCAAGCTGGGCACGCCCTACACTTGAGATGGAGAAAACAATCCTGCTTCCAGTCCAGCAGAACTAGGAATAGATAATTCTTCCAATTATAACATAAACACATACCCAGGTAAATATGGGAGAGAGAGCATGTCCATTAAATTAAAGTGAGATTTGTTTTAGGAACACAATTAAAAACTGGCTACAACCATGATTACCTAAAAATACCGCTAAAATTAGTCATCTTCTAGCACTTTTGCTCTTTACATTTCGGTAATTTGATCTGTACATTTCTGAAATACGTTGTTATTGGGACTTCTATGTATTTATTTTTCTCCCTCAGCCATCAGATTTTAATGCATTGTATGGCAGAAACTAACAAAACATTGGAAAGTAATTATTCTCCAATTAAAATATTTTTTTTTAATGGAAGCTACAGCGAACAAGAGGCAGCTTGGGTAAAAATTCTAAAGCATGGAGACTTTTCTTTTTTTTTTTTTTCCATTTATTTTTATTAGTTGGAGGCTAATTACTTTACATCATTACAGTAGTTTTTATCATACATTGAAATGAATTAGCCATGGATTTACATGTATTCCCCATCCCGGTCCCCCCTCCCACCTCCCTCTCCAGTCCTGGCTATTATAAACAGTGCTGCGATGAACATTGGGGTGCACGTGTCTCTTTCAGATCTGGTTTCCTTGGTGTGTATGCCCAGAAGTGGGATTTCTGGGTCATATGGCAGTTCTATTTCCAGCTTTTTAAGAAATCTAGCATGGAGACTTTTCAAAGAATCATGCAGCAAACAAAATATACTGATTGTTATTGGTAAACTTACTATGCATGGTGCACATATTCTCTACTCCAATCTTTTGTTTCTTCTATTTGGCCTTCTCTTTTCCCTCCTCTTTCCAAGTCCTGTGTCTTCCCCAGGTCTCTACCTTAATGTTATCCAGTTGAGAGACCTTCCTGGACTGCCTTATATAAAGTCAATGCCCCTTTATTATTCTTCATCACAATATACCATATATTTATCTTATGGCATTTATCTTTATCTGTTATTGTATAATTTGTTTACTTGTTTATTGCCCACCTCCCTCTGCAGAGTGCAGAATCTTGAGAGCAGGAATCTTGTCTACCTTTATCATCCTTGAATATACAGTTTCTAGTCCAGAACAGAGTTGGTGCTAAAGAAATATATGTTGAATGAATGACTAGATATTTTTCTTTTTCTAATCTGTTTAGTCCTACTATTGAGGCTTTAAAGATTTTCTGGAAAAGCAATGCCAAAGAATGCTCAAACTACCACACAGTTGCACTCATCTCACAGGATAGTACAGTAATGCTCAAAATTCTCCAAGCCAGTCTTTAACAGTATGTGAACCATGAACTTCCATTTGTTCAAGCTGGATTTAGAAAAGGCAAAGAAGTGTAGTTCAGTTCAGTTCAATCGCTCAGTCGTGTCTGACTCTCTGCAACCCCATGAACTGCAGCTTGCCAGGCCTCACTGTCCATCTCCAGCTCCCAGAGTCTATCCAAACCCATGTCTATTGAGTCAGTGATACCATCTCATCCTCTGTCATCCCCTTCTCCTCCTGCCCTCAATCTTTCCCAGCATCAGAGTCTTTCCAAATGAGTCAGCTCTTTGCATCAGATGGCCAAAGTATTGGAGTTTCAGCTTCAAAAGTCCCTGAAAACTTCATCAGTCCTTCCAATGAACACCCAGGACTGATCTTCTTTAGGATAGACTGGTTGGATCTCCTTGCTGTCCAAGGGACTCTCAAGAGTCTTCTCCAACACCACAGTTCAAAAGCATCAATTCTTCAAGCTCAGCTTTCTTTAGAGTCCAACTCTCACATCCATACATGACCACTGGAAAAACCATAGCCTTGACTAGACGGACCTTTGTTGACAAAGTAATGGCTCTGCTTTTTAATATGCTATCTAGGCTCGTCATAATT